ATTAGAATAGTTTTGCGAAAAAAGAAATTGGAATTCTGAATAGAATTTAATTATATGAAGTAATGAATCCTATTTTTATTATTTCAAAATGATGCTCATTATTAGATTTAACGTAAACCACATTAAAAATTTGATATAAATTGTTTAATTCTAATAGTAAAATCAGGAAATCAAGGTATTATAGTATAAGAATGTTTTGCGAAAGATAGACTTAGTCCTTTAATTCAAGTTCCTGGTAAAATTACAGGTTCTGTATATATTGATATATTAAAAAAATACTTTTTTACCATTTTATAACAGTTTTGAAAATAATTTACAATATATTTTTCAAGATAACAATACTTTAGTTCATAGAGCAAGTGCAGTTAATCAATAGAAAAAGAGTAATTTGATATTAAGTCTTCTATTGTCTGCACAAAGCCTGGATCTTAATCCAATTGAATATCTATAGGATGTTTTGAAAAGAAAAATTTGGGTACTTAAACCTTATCTAAAAAATATTAGAGAATTAATAATAGTTTTAGAAGAGGAATGAAATCAAATCAAACCTGAAATTTTAGTAAATTTAGTTGAAAGTATGCTACGAAAGATTTAAGCTATAATAGATAATTATAGTAATCCAACTAGATACTAATAATATAAATAAAAAATATGAGCTTTTCTGCATTATATATATAAATTTTGTAAAAATTTTATTAATAAATTGTTAAGTAATAAATGTCAAAATCAGTTATAATTTTAAATAATCAGCAAATGATGCGTAAGTGGTTAGATATTTTTTGGAGAGGAGTGTATATATTGTTTTTATTAGTAAAATGAACTCTATACAATTACCAAATTCTGATTGGTCACAAGTTAACGAAATTCGATTAGCTGTAAATTAAAATATTCAAGAGCTTGAAAAATATGTTAAAGGTGCTTGAAAGGATATTCTTTCAGAATATTATAAAAATTGATTGATAGTATGCCACAGAGAATTGAAGTAATTATTGCCACAAATGGCAATAGAATTAAATATTAGTATATTTTATTTCCAATATATTTTTTGTATATTTTTTTTATTTGAAAAGTGTATATTTTAAATTGTTGATCTCAAAAAATCTTTTTTGGTTTGTAAAAAATATAAAAATTCCGGTTTAAAACTCCATATAGAGCGAAATATGCTTAAATCAAATTTCGTAAATGATGATTGGTTAATAATTCATCCAATCGAATTTTTAGTGTGGAGCTGATGTGCCACGAAATATCACGTGTCTGCGATTACGCATATTCAACCCCAAAATTTCTGTACCCCAAAATATTTATCGCGGATATATAAGGGTTCTACTTTTTATTTCGTTTATTTTTTTTTTCTCTTCTGCAACTTCCCGACAAATATATGCACATAAAAACTTCAAAGTCGTGTTTTAATAGTTCTATTATATGACATTTTCTTTTAACAAATATTTTTCTTCTTCCTTATTTTACTATTTTTGTTATATCTTTTAGTCGGTTGTCCGTCCCGTCCGTGTTTCTTTTCGATTTTCGGTTTAGGTTTTAGATGGGGCCCCGCAATATTTTTGTAGGTTTTCGGTAAGGATATCCTTTTCTCTTACACCTCTACCCCTCTGCTACCCTTCTTCCTTGTTTTAACTATTTTAGTTATATCTTTTCAGTCGGTTATCCGTCCGTCCGTCCGCGTTTCTTTTCGATTTTCGGTTTAGGTATTAGATGGGGCCCCGCAATTTTTTTGTAGGTTTTCGGTAAGGATATCTTTTATTCCCTTTTATTTAGTTTTCGTGTGCATATATTTGTTGTAGGAAGGTCAGGTAAACAAATAAAAATTACTAGTTTTCGTGTTTTTTTTTTGATATATGTAAATTGTAATGATAAAGTATTGTATTATAATAAAGACGAACAAAACCAGTTCATTTTATTTGAAAAATAAACTTTTTATATTTTATTTTGTGTTATCAAAGTTTTTAAAGCGTGTAATCTCGCGATCAGAGTAGAAAATACATATGATTTTTTTTTTTTTTTTTGATTATTTTCGTTCTTTGAGCGAGGCTAGATCAAGAAAATAAATGTGAATTTTAACAATAAAGTCGTTGACAATGTAATCGAAAATTCGGCTTGAAAAATAAAAAAAAATTATATAAAAAAAAAAATTTTGCTTTAACAATTTTCGATCAGCTATTAAAATCGAGTAAATCGATGATTGTGATGAAGATTCTTTAAAGTCACAAATGGTGTCTAGATCATAAGACACGTTTATTACAACACTCCTGTAGAAAATTTAGTGTCGCGCAACGATCATCACGCTCAATCTACAAGTTAAATTTTTCCCACAGTGGTACTGGGAAAATTATAGGCAGAATAATTTCATTTCGTGCTACTCCTTCATTACTTTTTTAACGCAAAAACCATGTCGTTTAACGTTGCAAGTTCTTCAACCGGTCCTGAAATGAATCATGAAATCCATTTTTGACGATATGGTATTTCTTCTGCTTCGAAACGTTCCATAATAGGAAACATCACTTCGATAACAGGCGTATGAGGAGTATTATATAAAGTCTGATATTCCTCATGTGAGGGAGGACTATCATTATAATCTTCAGGAACATCATCCAAAGCGAGAGAAGGTATGGGACTATTAACCGATTATCATCAGCGATAACCGAAGAATCAACGTTAGAAGTGGTGGAAGAATGAATAATTATTTTTGGAGTAGCTAATTCTCTAAATTTTAATTTTTCATCAAATATTTTAACATCACCACCGTGTTGAATATTATCCAAAGAACCGACATGAGATTTTACATTTGTAAAGCTTAAATTATCATTAAATATAATTTTATCACACCTTTTGGAATATGATCAATATTATCAAAGGAACCTACACGCGAATGTACTTTCTTAAAATTCGGTTTACTGGAGAGCAGTTTAACATTATCAACTTATAGTACATGATTAACATTAATCAGTGGTTGAATTGGACAAGAAAAACTGATGACAATTGGAAGGAAATCAGAATCGTTTGTCATGTTACGTAAGATACTCTTTTCCCCTTTGACGAGTTCTACCTTCTCCTACGGTCGCCACAAGTGCTTTCAACTCAGTTTATTCTCGTCAAACAAAAAAGTAATGCGACACAGGTGGAAGAGAGACTTGCTGTCTTAAGAGAGGTAGGTTCTTTTCACTTTACTTTGAAATTATTGTACTTAACCATATTTCAAACAATTCTCTTCTGACTTATTTTGCTTACAGGTTTACTCCCCTCTTAAAAAAGGGTCACAAGAATGGACCAAGCTTATTAAATCTGGGAAAATCTGGGAGAAATACTTTCGTCCATTTGAATGGCGCACACAAGATTATGGTATGAGCTACGAATTTTTTATGACTTGCAATTTTTCGCCTTAAAAAGTTGATTTACATTTCATCTCGACAGACTTTCAAGCAAAATATGGCGATTTTTTGAAAGAAATCGATGCCCTGAAAGCCTCTGCAAAAAACCCAGTTGTAGATTTTTTACGAAGTATGACCGTGAGCAGCAAAGTTGTGCCATACGTTAGGATTGTACGATACACAAAAAGTTTGGAATTCACTCAGAAGGAACTACAATTTCTGAAAGATTCGGAAACACCGTTACCTTTACCGAGTTCACTTTCCGTTGAACCAGAAAATGAAGTCATTGAAATCCGGAACCATCATCTACTTGCGACTCACTTTCTTTATAATACTTTGTATGATTTGACGCACGAAATTGACCTTTGTCATATTAAGAGACTCCATCACATTCTTTTGAAGGATACACCAATGGAGAAGTCGAATTGGAAGATGATAAATTTCATGATAACGAAGAAGATAGAAGTAGAGTCACGTGGCTCTATCTATACTGTTTATCCGGTGAGTTATTATTCCTTTGTGATTCTTTTATCAACATTTGATTATGACTGACTTAGTATTTTCTGTAGCTCCCAATGGAAGTTTCTGCATTGATGGAAAGGTTCACACAGTACAGTTTCGTGATGAGAGCAACAAAAACAGCGGTCTTCATCCAATTATAATCGCATGTCGTATACTTTCAAACCTTCCTTCATATTCACCCATTTATGATGGTAATGGACGTGTTGGTCGTTCGATTATGGCATTATATCTCATTCGAAATGGTTATCCACCTGGAAGAATATGGTGCTACATTATTTCTGGCACAAGCGGAAAAAGATTCAACGCGTGGTAGTGCAAAACATATTCAATGTTTTAATGAGGTACCAATTGTATGTAAAATTTTTTTATAAAGATATCGATTGCCGTTTAGTAATACAAAATGCTAATCCGCAGAATAACATTCCTTTTGTGTAGGACTTTTTAATGATCAATGATAACTAGATGAAAATTTTGACTTGGATGAAACAGTCCAAATTTCTTTAGAGCATTTATTCATTAATGTCGCAACTATAATAATGGGGGATTTTTTTTATTGATGTTGTGCTATCAAATTCAACCTTATTATATGATATAAATATATTATCGAAAAAAAAGTCAATATGTTATACCAGGGATTACTAGAACACATCTATTTTAAGCCCCGCGTATGTAATTTATTATATTAATAAAACGCGTTAACTACAAAAAATCGCGATAAAGTCATGTTAAATATCATCAAAAAACCACTCTTGAAATGCACATACTATTATATTTTCTTTCTAAATTCACACTCTCATTCAGTTCAATTATTAAAATATTCATATAAAAATTTCTCATTAAATGCACACCTCTTTAATGCAAATGTAACTAGATAATTTGGTTCACAAATTTTACTTTATTGAGAAATAATTCTTATTACAAATACTGCCTTCCTAAATTACAGACATTTACCTATTTGAATATATAAACTTATATATATCCAATTGGACATTGCAGAGAAGCTATAATTCAGGAAAGGAATGATCATGATCATGCTATTAAATCAATTAAGAAAACTGGTAAGTTCAACAACTTTAATCATTTATTGTATTAATTTTATAATAATTTATAGTCAAAATTACGAGGAAGTTTAATATGAATAACTGAAATTTTTTTTTTATGCCTACTGTACCGTTCCGAAATTAAGCACGTCCCAAAAATAAGCACCCCCTTTTTTTATCAATTTTGTATAGTATTCGTTAATATTATTAAATAGTCAATTAATTTGGTTCATTTAGTTAGTTTCAGTAAATTTTTATTAATTGCAATTATATCAATTAAGTTTCAATATGATTTTTTTTTTACTCTTTATTAGAAATTTACATTAAAAGACAATTATAGTTATTTGAACAATTTTATCAAAATCTGTTTTAGTTCAGTTCAGTCACTTGGCTTTTATTTACCTTTACCCAATAACTAACTATACTGCAATCAAAACTAAAGTGTTTTTATTAGCATAAAAAAACAACTTGTCTCTTTTGTTCAATTGAATATGAATTGTGATTACGCTAGACATTTTTTTATGTCTATCATTATTTTTTTAATACCTTTTACATTTTTGTGGTAACATATTGTATAAGATAAAGTTATAAAAAGATTAGTGACAAATTATAGTTTGTGTTTTCAATATATTATACAAATGATATAGTATACTACTAATAATCATTTGGCAAATTTATTTAATAATCATTAGATAGTTTTTAAAATAAAAATTTGCAGACTCAATAAAGATGATTTAAAAATACCCAAAATTAAGTATCTTATAATAAAATAAGAAATACTTAATTTCAAAACAATACAATTTACCTAAAAATGAGAATAATTATAATAGTTTTTATTTAAACTTAAGCTTTATTAGTGTAATAATTGAATTATTTGATCAAATTATCTAATATATAGGCAATAAACTTAGTAAAATTCATCTTTCAATATTTTTTTTTATATATTCAAGAAATTTTAGCAAATTTAGATTATCTAAATCATATAGTAAAAATTTTTCTAACAGGTCTTAAAAAAAAATAGTTAATTTTAATAAACTATAAGCAGAATGAATGAATAATATATTGATTTATATTAAAAAAAAAAGATTTAAAAAACTCTTATTTATATCAATATTTATATATAGAAGATATTTCTCATAAAAATAATAAAAAGATAGAAGAGATAAAAATAAATAAAAATTAATAAGTATATGTATTTTTTATAAATACATTTAATCAAATAGACATTTAGTAATATATCTATAAAATCTAATCAATAAA